TTAAAGACAAAATTATTGACATGCACTATTAAAGTTTATAGCATATAAATAAAGTACGGTTTTGTTTACCTTTAGATGTTCATTTTTATTTTTATATTTTTAATTATTACCTCCCCAAAAAAAAAATTATTTTACTAAAAGTTTCATAATGTATCCTAATTCGATGACCTTGTACAAACATTTTACTTAAAAAGATTGGTATTAATAGCACCTAAAATTGAATGTAAGAATGTGGAAGAGATGAGAGATGATGTACTAGAAACCGTGCCAGTACATCTTAATCTATCTCTACCTATACGGATAGTTTCTCTTACTTTTAGTACTGTAGTTGCTTGCGTTTTGATATTATATTCGCTTTTGATGTGGTACATAACTTTGTCCTATAGTGTACCGCTTAACAGGCAATGAACGGTGAGTGACGGCAGACAGTCGTGTCGGAGGATTCGTTGTTAGTTTGCAGGCGTTAACTCGGCAGGCGCGATCGTTCGTGTTCATTTCAACCTTAATTCCCCTTCACTATGTTTTTAACATCGGCTGTTAAGGCTTCAGTGGTTTATATTAGTTTCACGTACGACTTTAGTTTATTTGAAAACCAGCTGTCGCTCGTGACCTCTCGCGGAATTAAAAACAAACTTAATAAGTAGCCTATGTGTTCTTCCAGACTATGTTCTATATGTATGCCAAATTTCAGGAAGATCCATGCATCCGTTTTATTCCGTATAACAGTTGGTTTCAGACACCAAAATTTCAGTATAATATTTTAACTGTGGTAGAGCCCGCTTTAACATCTTCGTACGAATCGGCCCGGCTCGCCCGGTGAAATACCACGACCACACAGAAGACAGGCATGAAGTGGAAGCAATTCCGCGTTTCGTCTGATGAGTGTGCGTCCCGGAGGCCTAATTTAGTCCTCTTTCCCTTCCCACACTTTTCCTTATAAGGAAAGGATGAGAAGTTGAAGTGGACTTTCCGGATGAGAGGATGCATGGGAAGGGAAAATATTTTCTTTCTGTGCATCCTCTCCTCCGTCGATTAAAGGTAGGCAACGCATATGCAATTGCGTACGTCTATGGGCAACGGTCACTTCGCTATTTCAGCGATTTCTGCCGGTCGCTTGTTTGCCACTATATGATATAAAAAAAATATTGTCATCTCTGTCGTAATATTTGAAATATAATAAAAGAAATAACAATGTTTTAAACGGAGTTATTAGTCTCAGAAACCCACGGTAACAGTTTATTTTTATTGATGTTAATTCTTTAATGATACAGAACATACAGATTTATGTCACTGCATTTTTTTATTTTTTATTAAAATATTAGCAGATTTTTTTTGTAAATTTACTAATATTTCTTTTACCATTCCAACTAAGCTCTATGCTTGTGCTAGGATATGGTTTACGACAATAGTCGAATAGCGGGATTCGAACCCCCGACCTCGTGATCTAAAATCCGTACCCTAAACCATTAGGCTATTGACGCTTAATTATTAAAGTAAAAGACAATAGATTCATTATTTAAAGCCAGCTTAATATAAAAATGGAATTTGTAACAATTAACGTAGGCTGACACTTGACCTGAACATCTAAAATGACATCAAAAGCATCCAATTGACACCTTTTTGTAGTGCATTTGTGTACTCAGCCAGATTCTCACGGACGGTATATTTTGGCATTTGAATAGAGGTCAAGATATATTAAATAATATGCAAAGGTCAAAAGGAAAATTGAATTGTCACACGGGTGCCACATTACCAAAACTATTTTTTTACCCTAATTAGTGAGTTTTTTTTCTATATATGTCACTTGAGGACCTAACACGAATATTTGTGACAAGCGCTTTCCAGTCCATCATCAATTTTGTGAAAATTAGTATGCGATTTTTGATATATTTTACGCTGGATAGGGGCACAAACAATGACGCAATATAGCTTAAAGGTACGCGTCCATTGGTCCGCGCCGGACGCACCGCACGCGGCCAGCAACGGATTGATTGTTGATAAATCCCGTCTTACGTTGCAGGCGCAGATGATATACGCAGTGCTATGTAGAATCATACATACACATACAGCCAACTAAAATCCATTGCGGACTGTGCGTGCGGTGCGTCTGGCGAGGAGCAATAAATGCGTACCTTAAACAATTGAATCGATTTTGACGAGTGAGGTTTAAATCGACTCGTATTCGTTTCCTAAGAGTCATAGTGTAATCCTAAGGTTTTTAAAACAACCAGTCCCTTAACGATTTTTTTACCCTATTTATATATATAAAAGAAAGTCGTGTTAGTTACACTATTTATTACTCAAGAATGGCTTCACCGATGTGGCTAAAAATTGGTGAGGAGTTAGCTTAGCTTTGGGTGGGCTACACTAATTAAGTTTTTTTATATATCCCCGTGGATGGAGTCGCAGGCGACATCTTTGGCGTGTTTTTTTTTTTATGTCACTGTAATGTTTTTATAACAGAAGGGAGCAAACGAGCAGCGGGAACACCGAGGTGTTCAACGACGCCCATGGACATCAGCAATACCAGAGGAACCGCAGATGCGTTACCGGCTTTTGAGGTGATGATAAGCTCGGTTCTTGAAGGACCCCGAGTCGTAGCGGTTTGGAAATACCGCCGAGGACAGACCATTCCACAACGCTGCTGTGCGAGGCAGGAAGCTTCGCGCAAACCGCACGCAAATGTAATTTTCAATATTTATAGTTAGTGTAAATTATAATCAGTTCACAGAATATGATGGCGCCATGTAAACATATTAATATATTCGTCCACAACTGCAACAAATGACTTCGCATGTTAATACTATTGATGCGTAGAATTAATTATAATAATTAAATATTTAACTCACGTTTTAGAATCAATTATGTTTATCTAAACGTTAAGAGCCTCGGTGGCTCAGTGGTCAAGCACTTAGCAATATGCAGGTCCTGGGTTCGAATCCCGCCATGTACCAATGTGTTTTTCGATTTCCGATTTACATATGTACATTTGTCCGACGTTCTTACGGTGAAGGAAGGAAGGGGCTCGGAGGCTACCCTAAGTTGAGGGTGATTAGTTGTAAAGTGCGAGTTGACTTTACACATAACTTTGTATATCTTCTCAGATATGTGCAGCATCACGATGTTTTCTTTTACGATGTTAGAATGTTGACGATGATTGTAGAATGATGTTAGAACGTCGGATAAATGTACATATGTAAATCAGAAATCGAAAAACATATTGGTGCTTGACTCCTGAGCCACTGACGTTCCTATTGTTATTTAGTTTGTCAGTACTATTGTTATTTTGATATAATATTATTGTGTTCAACAACGAAATCGTTCAGTTAACAATTTAGTTTATAGTATAAATACTTGTAAAGTTTTATAGGTAACTTAATGATCGTTTTTACGTGACCTAACGAGAGTAGGTTAGCCGCAAGTTTACTAATGGCCGGGCGAGTTAATTACCAATACATTCATTGTTACAAATATTTTTATATATTTCTAACTAATGCGACATAATGCAGATGATTCTGTAGGTGAAGCTGTTGCTGTCAGGAATAAAAAAACTCAATTAGTAATCTATGTGTCCTTCCAGACCACGTTCTACATCTATGCCAAATTTCAGCTAAATCCATGCAGCTGTTCTGGAGATAACTTCAAAATAAGCTCCATCCATCTAAACGTTCGCATTTATAATATTATTAAGATAAGAAGTAAGATAATATTTAATAACATCTATTGCTTAATAACTCATTTTCCATATTATTATGTTTTATCATCATCAGCTCACTAAGTCTTCACTCGCTTTCATCTTACCTCCCCACTGAGAAGCTCAGAGCCTTCCCTAAGTAAGGTGACTACGCCATTGTCAACGCTGGCCCAGTGCGAGTTGACTTCACACATATCTTTGAATTTCCAGATATGTGCAGCATCAAGATGTTTTCCTTCACCGTAAGAACGTCGGATAAATGTACATATGTAAATCTAAAAGTACCAATGTACATGGCGGGATTCGAATCCAGGACCCACAGATTACAAGTTAAGGGCTTAACACCTAAGCCACAGATGCTCATTTTTTAACATATCTTTTAATTTGGCCTCCGTCACTCATCAGTCGTTTTGTGAGTATCCTTCACACTTGAGACGTGTCTTCTCGTGTTGGTTAAGCATGCAACAACTAATGCTGCGAACTCTACCGCTGTTCCTCGCTAGAGCATCATCGTTTTAAATTAATGATTGCTAGTTAATCTTCTTATTCAATTTATAAAATTGTTTAATTGTCCATATGACCGTGTGGCCTAATGGATAAGGCGTCGGACTTCGGATCCGAAGATTGCAGGTTCGAGTCCTGTCACGGTCGATCTTTGTTTTAATTTTCTTGTCTCTGAAAATGAAAAAATATTCAGAATCGTTTACTTCTAATATTTCAAAAGCGTAACATTGTATTTATTTTGTCTTTACATTTTTTTTAATGCAACGTAATTATTTTAACGTTTTTTTCTAAACGTTGAATTGCGTATCTTAAACGCTATTTTCTTTGCTTTAACATTTTGATTAATGTCCGATTTATAGTTTACAAGCTGTTGCCCGCGAGACCTTTTGCGTGGAATCAAAAAAATTTAATTAGTGGCCTATGTGTTCTTCAAGGGTATGCCAAAGTTCCGCGATATCCATGCATCCGTGCCTGAGACACCTTCAAACAAACATCCATCTATCCAAACATTCGTATTTATAATATTAGTAAGAAGTAAGATAGAGTTTGTAAATAAATAGTAATAATTGACTCTTGAATATTCCAACGCGCATTAAATTGGGGTAACTAACTAGTTAAAGTCAATTCTTGAACGTTAAAAAAGCTTGCAAATAGTCGTGTAGTCGCAAAAGTTAATTTTTCCCTCGATATCGTTGGAAAATGTTGTTGAGTTTAGTTTTGTACCAAGTAACGCATTGCGACGTAAGCCCTTTCGCAGTGAAATGTTTCATGCGCAAAAGGCATTCGGTGTTGAACCGTTGTCGTGTTCGGACGTATCGTTCTCTCCGAGAGCGCAACTACGCGAAACATTAATTTTTAACTTCGCTGTTAACTGCGCGTTTCGATAACTTTTGGAACCGTGATTATTGTATATTTTTATTTTGTGTGTGTGTTTTTGTGGATTGTGTGTTATTGGAAATGTATTGAAGTGGTTTTTAAGTGTTTATTTTTTGTTCGGGTTCTGTGGAGTGCATTTGGATAGAAGAGAACGAGAAATTGTTAGTAATTTTTTATTATTATTTATTTTTTAATTAAGTTATTAAATTATTAATATTAACAAAACGTTGAGAAGTTATAAACATTTTACGATGCTACAAAAAAAAAAACTTAAATAATACTCTATGTATGACATTTATTTCATATTATTCTCTATGTAATAAATAAAAATCAAATTCTGTATGTATATTCATATCGCATAGGTTCCTTTACCATTGTAAAGCTTTAAAACTTTGAAAAGATTTCGGCCAAAAATAAAAAGGTAATAAAAAGAGTTTTCATTATAAACGAAACCTTTTTGGTTGCACTGACATTTGACATTATTTTGATTATTATAGTTATTTTTAATTTTAAAGTTAATTAGTAATATGAAGCGAAAATGCTTTATTATTCACTAGCTGTCGTCCGCAACTCTTTCCGCTCGGAATAATAAAAACTAAATGAGTAGCATATGTGTGTTCTTCCAGGCTATGTTCAACATTTATGCCAAATTTCTTCAAGATGTGTTGAGTCGTTCCGGAGATATATTCAAACATCCATGCATCTAAACATTCGAATTTATAATAATAGTATGATATAAAATCCAATTTTTTCAATGCATTTAAATCTTATTAGAATTTTTGTTGAATCAAACTTAACGACTGATATAATTTTTTAGTGGAAAATAAAACTAAATAACGTTATTTTAATTTCTGATACACGCAGAGTCTCTAAATGGTGATATAAATTAGCGCTTACAGTATGTATGATTAAGTAAAAATTAGACGGCAATTTAACAGTAAGGCAATAATTATGTATTCACTACTCATATTAAAATCACTTAACTTACGTTTACTAAACGTAACTTAAATTAAACTTATTAAAGATAAATATGAACGTTTGATTAATTAAGTTAAAAAATTAAAATATTAAACACTATATTATTCTTTGAATTTTAATTTAATAATAATATTATTTAAGCTAGTAACTCTAGAAATATTGACTTAGTCACCCCTAAGGCTCCGAACCTCTCAATGGGGTATAGTGAGCTGATGATGATGAATAAAAAATTTAATTAAATTTTGCAGGTTTTATTTCGTTAATATCTGTTGTGAAATAGATTAAAAAATTTGATTGATCGTATAGAAAGCGTGGTAAAATCATCATTCTGGCTCTACGTAATGGACATACTCTACTCGTAGTCTGAATTCACTATCTTCGGTCGTTCTCTACCTTTGTACTAAATTCAATCTCATTACTTTCTTGTTTATATGTCAATCTGTTCGCATATATGTATATTATACTAGCTATCGTCCGCGACTCCGTCAGCGCGGAGTTAAAATAACTTAATAGCATATGTGTTCTTCCAGACTATGTTCTATATCGATGTCAAATTTCAATTTAATCCATGGATCTGATCCGGAGATACCTTTTAATATCCATCCATCCAAACATTCGCATTTCTAATATAATATTAGTAAGATTAACGTGGCAGAATATTATCTATCTATACATATAAATAAAACTGGTGTGTCTGTATGGAGAAAAAAATCATATTCGTATCCGTCATGAATTTGCGTTGCTGATAACGAAAAACATATTTTTCAAAATTATGCCTGTCTCTACATCTGTTTACAAGGTTGTGATTGTTCCGGGTAATACTCGGAACGGCTGTACCGATTTTAGTTAAGCTTTGCCGGGAAGGTAGCTGATGAACGCGGGCATCTCATAGTTTTTTAATTCGCCGCTGACAAAGTCGCGGGCGACTGCTAGTTAATAGATAAATACGATAAGTATTGTTTATATTAAGATTGAGACTTATTACATAACTACGATTCAAGACGATACGCAAGCACGTGTATAAAATATAATTGGGTTTCCACTGTATAACAACATTATTTTATCTCACCGTTTAGTTCTCATTGAATAAATGAGACGAGATATGTCTCGTATAAAATTCGTAATCTGTTGGCTTAGTACGAAAATCTCTCACTAATTTTGACGATACGAAGACGCTTGTCGCAAATATTCGTACTACGCCCACGGCGCTTGTTCTTGTATTTTATGCTTGTATCTTGTTTAACTACAGACTATTGAAAGAAAGAAAAATTGTTGTCCCTTTCCTTTATTCAATAAAAAACAGGGATAACATGATTTTATAAAGATGTACTATATGCTACTACCGAAACATATTACTTGATTTACGTAAACGATAGAAATCGCGAAAAAGTATTATAGAAATCTTACTAATATTATAAATGCAAATGTTTAGATGGATTAAAGACGACGGAATATGTAAGGATGGAAGAGCGTTAGGATTAAGATGAATTTTGGAATATTATGTTGTATAATAAAAAGATAAAATGAAAATATTAAATAGAATTATTAGAAGTAAGGAGAAAAGCACGCACTGTTACAAGAATATATTTACAACTGATGGTTTAAAAATAGAGAAAAAGGAAGCAAAAACATATAAAGTTCTAAATTCAAAAATATAACTATTATGAATAAAAAAGTGTAAAAAGGTCCGTATCTGTCGGCAACATGGATGGATGTATGGATGTTTGTATGAAGGTATCATTAAACCGGCTCTACGGATCTTGGTCAAATTTGGCATACATGTAGAACATAATCTGGAAGAACACATAGAGTACTAAGTTTTTTTTTTATAATTCACGAGGACGGAGTCGCGGGGAAAAGCTTGGTATAAATCTAATATTATAAATGCAAATGTTTAGATGGATGGATGGATGTTTGAAGGTTCATTAAACCGGCTCTATGGCTCCTGGTTAAATTTGGCATACATGTAGAACATAATCTGGAAGAACACATAGACTGCTAAGTTTTTTTTATAATCCGGGCGGAGTTGCGGGGAAAAGCTACATAAATGATATAAATTATTTATGTATCATAACGGTTCCTGTTTATTAACATAGTAAAACATATAAGTTTGTTTATATATTTAAAGAAATGTTTTTATATATCAATTGTTTAACAAACGCAGGAAGAATTACTTGATGTTTGTTATTACGCTATTGTTTTATACCTAAATAGGATGTCTATTGTAAATAACCTTATCTTTTTATAAGGTTAGTAAAGTTACAATAGAATGATATATTTGTTTTTAAACTTTATACCAGGGTTTGTAAACGACTTACTATATTTTTAACAGTGGTAGTGCCCGCTTTAACATCTTCGCACGACTTGGCCCGGCTCGCCCGGTGGAATACCACGACCACGACACAGAAGACAGGCGTCAAGTGGAAGAAGACAATGCAAGCTTAACTTAACTAAGATAAGCTTCGACTAGTGGATTTCTGAAATCAAAATTTCTTGATAAAATATGTCGTTATTGTTGTCTTTTATTATTGACAAAACAGAGATAACAATATGTTTTCAACGGACTATTTGGTCTCAGAAACCTACTGTTAATATGTCAAGTCGTTTAGCTTGACTTATTAGATGATTGAGGTGTCATTCGTTAAGCTTTATTTTATTAATTACATACTAATGATAAGGAGTTTGCACGAAATCTTACGTCAATTTTTTGTGCGTGTATCAACCCGGGCGTTATTACGTGTAATACGACGTGTTAGCTACGTCACGTTGTCACGTCGGTCTCTTAAAGCAAGACGCGGGTAGTAGACCGCGACGTGTTTGTCGACGTGACAAATTTTTATGATGTTTAAAATTTATATAAAAAATCCATAACATAACTCTACCACTGTTTAAATTCGAAAGAATACTGTATAATTAAGTTTACCTTTTTAGTCAGAGTATTAATTAAATTTATTTCTATTTATCATTATATAAAAGAGTATTGAATACATGTTATTTAAATACTAGCTGTCGCCCGCGACCCCGTCCGCGAGGTATTAAAACCTTAATTAGTAGCCTATGTGTTCTTCCAGACCGTTGAACCGTTCCGGAGATATCTTCTCACATTCATCCAAACATTCGCATTTATAATATTAATAAGATATTTGACAAAGTGAACGTTAAGTATGAGCGTTGAGGGGTACACCGGTAGAGGCCTAGGAAGAGATGGATGGATTGCGTTAAAGTTGACATGATTAAGAAGGGGGTGACGACTGAGATGACAGCAGATTAAATTGTTATGAAGTAGAAGGACAAGGACAGGGAGATGTAGCTATGTCGTCCTGTCTACTTATTTACTCACTCCGCTGGCGCATCGACCCAAAGTAGGTCTTGGCTTCCGAAACAAGAGATCTCCAAAGTCGCCTGTCTTGAACCTTCTCCTCCCAGTCCATCGCATGTAGCTCCCGCAGATCCAGCTCTTCGGTGTCTCGCCAGTGGTACCTGGGCCGACCGGTGGGTCGGCTGCCAGTTGGTGTCCTGAGATACGCTGCTTTGGTCTCGATTTTCCCCCATCCTCATGCGGTGACCCAGCTATCGGTGTCTGTGTGCTTTTGCTACTCCGATGATATTCGGCTCACCCACCAGCGAATGTAACTTGAGAAAAGTAGAATTTACATTTGAGAAATATTAAAATCTTCGAAATAATTATTTAGTTAAACAATCAACGTCAAGTAGTTCCCCTCGTACTAAAAGTAAAAACTTTTCGGTAGAGAAGTAAAAGTTTGAAAACTTTGTTAAATGTTTCCACTTTCCTACAATAATACTGAGAGTAAGAAGTTGTCAAATTGTAATAAGTAACTTAAAATAATTGTTCTATTATAAACTAGTTGTCGCCCGTGACACCGTCCACGCGGTATTAAAAAAAAAAGTACTTCAGTAGTCTATGTGTTCTACCAGAATATGTTCTACAACTATGCTTAATTTCATAGAGATCCATAGAGCCGTTCTAGAGATACCTTCTAACAAACATACATCCAAACATTCGCATTTATAAGTGAGATTAGAACGCTACATATCTGTATGACATTGTTGTTATAAAATGTTCGAAACTTCTGTATTTGTATTTTACCTTATATTAGAGTTTTTTCTACACGTGGCAACCGAGCAAACAGCCACATGAATTCGCCAAAATGGCGAAGCGACC